GACGGCGAAGCGGGTCGTCGTCGCTTGTCTCGTCGCCGTCGCTCGTCTCGTCTTGTCGCTCGCTAAATTGTTTACATGCGGTTCAGCCTTTACACACGGTACTCGGCAGCAACAAAGGAATTTAAACGGCCCACCCCCGAGATAAACTGTTTTCTATTTTTAGCTCAACGAAGCTTCTTCAACGATAGGAAATTAGCACGCACTACCAACGGACGACCGCGTACCCAAGCCAGTCAAACGTCAAACCGCGACCTCGAAGATGGCGGATCGACGGTGGCGCTCCCTGGCAAAGTCGAACCTGCAGGCCCAGTGAATACCACCTATAGGTGACATTCACTTGACGTCACTCGCTAGGTGCGCTGGCATCGGCCACCACGGTCGCCATCTTCGAGGTCTCCTTTTATCCCACGTAGGTGTCAGGTGCCGTCTGGCCGGACCTTTCAGCGTGGGTTAGCAACATTTTACAACTTTAAAGGGTATTTTTGGCCGGAACTATGGGTTATTCTTAGACTTTGGTGCTTTTAAAGCGCCGTAGGAATATTTTTTGTGTGTGTTTTAGTTCGTTTTTGTCGCTATCGGACTTTTCCGCCGCGGCCGTGTGGCTCCATCGGCTCCATGCAGCGCTCCGTGTCGCGCTCCGTGCCCACGGCGGTAGCTCTTTTACAAGAACTGTGATTTTATACTTTGGGGCTTTTGTAGCATGGTGTGATTACTCTTTGTTTTGTTTTGCTACTTCCCTTATTGTTTTTTCTCTAGCGGATATTCTGCACTACGGCCGTGTAACCGTGTTGCTCCCTCGCCTCCGCGTCGTTCGTCGTGCCTTCGGTGTTCGTTCTGTGCAGAAACATACCGTGCGGCTCACCGAGTGCGCAGCTAATTAAAAATGCATCGCATTTTTTCTTAGCCCGAACGATTTCAAAACCGCATGCAAGCGATTTGCCAAGCGACGATACAAGCGACGGCGACCCGCTTCGCTGTCGCTCGGTCACTCGCGCGACGAGGCAAACCGCATGAAAGCGACGGAGGCAAACGACCAAAGCGATGAGCGCTACGTTTTCTAAAAATCTAAAAACCGAGCTATGCGAGGAGCGACAGTGAAGGGTGAACCGCATGTAAGCGATTTAGCGAGCGACAGCGACGGGAGTCGGCGACGAGCGACGGAGATTTCTCACGGTCGCTCGTCGCGTCGTTCGGTTTTTAGATTTCTGGAAATCGTCGCTCATAGCCTTGGTAGCTTGCTCCCGTCGCTTTTATTCGGTTTGCCTCGTCGCGCGAGTGACCGAGCGACAGCGAAGCGGGTCGTCGTCGCTTGTCTCGTCGCCGTCGCTCGTCTCGTCTCGTGGCTCGATCGCTAAATTGCTTACATTCGGTTCAGCCTTTACACACGGTACTCGGCGGCAACAAAGGCTTTAAAACGGCCCGCCCCCGAGGTGAACTGTTTTCTCTATTCTGTTCAACGAAGCTGCCTAAACGATATGAAATTATCAGACACCACCAACTGACGACCGCTTACACAAGCCAATCAAACGTCAAATAGCGACCTCGAAGATGGCGGATCGACGGTGGCGCTCCCTGGCAAAATCGAACCTGCAGGCTCAGTGAATACCACCTATACGTCCGATGACAAAGGCTGCACAAGGGCAAGCCCCAAGACAAAAAATGTTGTGACGCTGTACTGAGACGGACAAAAGACCCTCGTTGCAAAACGTTTTTTAACAATGCCTGTCCGTGAGATGTACAAAAAAATGAAGACATCTTATCCAGAAATCAAGCTTGGGTTGACAAAGTTTCACGCCCTGCGACCAAAATGGGTCATGAAACGTCCCATGCACGAAGAGTGCGTTTGCATTTATTGTGCGAGCTACGCCCTTTGTTTGGCAGCATTATCAAACGCAGGCAGAAAAGATTTGAGCCTAGAACACGTCAAGAAACTTTGCCTGTGCGAAAAACCATCGAAGGAGTGTCTTCTGCTAAACTGTATATCGTGTCCAAAAAAAGATGGTTTAACTCTAGAATCGTTATCAATCAATGAAAAAGGCGAAGTGGAGCTGGCAATATGGGAATCCGGTGAATTGACTAAGATACATTTGGAAGGTAATGCATTTCTTAACGAAATAAGAAAATGGGCAACGAAGTACATTCCCCACTCGATCATCCGACAAGCCCAGAGACTTGCAATATGCTTCGAAAAAAGTCAGATCAAGCCGCGTACTGCCGTGTTGCATTTTGACTTCGCAGAAAACTGGAGTGTTGTTCTTCCTCGAGCCGTACAAGGTTTTCATTGGAAAAATCAAATGGTATCTACCTTCACCTGCGTTGCCACAACACAGCAGACGACCTACAGCTTTGGCGCCATCAGTGAGGACATCGTACATGATGCAGCACACGTATTCTTCGCCCTGAGTGCAATTGAAGAGTGGCTTGAAGAAAATATTCCCGTGTTTCTAGAACTAATCTACAGGGTGTCACAAAAGAAAATTTACACGGTCTTTTTCACCGCAAAAATAAACTAGGCATCGCCGAACGCTCATTGTCCGCCCAAAGGTAGAGCTAGACGTCACAACCAGTTGCCAAAGTTTCAGCCCGATCCGATAACTTAGTCAAAAGTTATAAGTAATTTTCTGAAAATTTCAATGGGAAAATGGAGCCCATTTTTGCCCGTTTTCGGTGTCTGGTGCCATAAAGCCCCATGTGTGTGAAAACTCCGTCGGCCGCCATTTTCCCATTGAACTTTTCAGAAAATTACTTATAACTTTTGATAAAGTTTTCGAATCGGGCTGAAACTTTGGCATCTGGTTGTGACCTCTAGCTCTACCTTTGGGCGGAGAATGAGCGTTCGGCGATGCTTAGTCTATTTTTGCGGTAAAAACGTCCGTGTAAATTTTCTATTGTGACACCCTGTACGTATCCGACGGAGCAGCAAGCCATTTCAAGAATAGGATCCAGCTGCACGAGGTGGCGAAAAGAAATGAAGTGACCAAGTGTATTTTTTCTGCTTCAGGACATGGCAAAAGTGCATGTGATGGCATGGATGCAGTGCTCAAACACCAGGCATGCCTACACAACCTCAGATCATCGGAACTGGAAACAATCGGATGTGCGGAGGACTTTTTTTGGGTGGTTGCCGCAAAAGTACCTGGAATCGTACTTCTAAAAAGTGACGCAACTTGCCTGAAAGACTACCGTAACAAAAAAAAACAAAAAAAAAAAAAGAACGAAGACGGGTCTGTTAACCTGGTGATTGAAAAATACGCAAAACAGTGAAAGTGAAGTGTTAGCCAAGTTACCAGACTGATCCCATTGAACGTTTTTGAGGTTTTGTATTGTTCGTATTAGAGTCCATACTTCTATTTCCCCTACACAAGTTCTTATTTTAAAGAGATATTAAGATTAGAAAAAAAACTAGTCGATTGTCAATGGCCCTAGCGCGTAGGGAGAAGCGGCCATGTTAGTTAACTTTTACTTCTCCTCGTTCTGTAGATCGACGTGATCGACCTGTCAGTGGTTCGACAGGATTTTTTTTTTTGTGTCACGGTAGCAGTCTTTACAAAACCTTGTAAATGTTGTACCTACATATTTGTGAATGCAGCTGTGCCAAGTTTCAGAAATATTTTTTTGCTAAGAAATTGCGTTTCACATTGTTTTTAAGTATTTAATGTTGAATTGCGCCAATAGATGTTCATATCTTGTATTAAACGTACCTTTCATGTATCTGTGCTGCTTAAATATATGCGAAATTTCAGTCAATAAATGCAATAAGTCAGTTCTCAACAAATAATAGATAACCACGCAAAACAATCGGTAACAATCGAGATTGTCATTGCACAGCAAACCGTATAATATGTTTTTAAACGCTTGGCGTTACATCAAAAAACAAAATACCCACTCTAATTTTTATCAACGTTTCAAGACTATGTTAAAAGGTTTCCGTACACAAAATTAAAAAAAAAATGAAAAATGTTTTTTTTTTTAGAAAATTGATTTTGAATATTGTGTGTACTTTTAGCGATTCCTCTTTTCTTCAGAGGTTTGTTTCACTGTATTACACCTGATTGACAATACCGATTATATTTTTCTGAAAAAGATACTGTTTTAAGCTTTCGTTTTATGTGCTGTTTATGCCAAAACATTGAACGAAACGAAAATTATAATCACTCAAGTTCGGCCAATATTTGTCAAAGGGACTAGGTTTGACCATTTTTATTTTACGAAATATTAAAAAAAATATTTTTCTCAGTGGTAATTAGAAAATTGTACCTAAAGTATAAAGCAAGTAAAAAAAGTTTGATAGCTGTGCGGCTTATATATGAGCGTAGCGGGACTCTCAAAGGTGCGACCTCTGACAATCGCCAAAATCTCAAAACCCGCTTTCGGTCAAATGAGATATAATAACTCGAGAACAAAATTTTTTTCTTCAAAACCGCTTCCCATTTCGTTCTAATGAAGAATTAGCCCACAACATATATTTTTTCCAGAATTTTTGAAGACCCAACATTTTTTCTTGCATGATTTGAGATGAAACCACCTATACGTATATATATATATATATATATATATATATATATATATATATGTATATGTCTGTGTGTGTGTGTGTGTGTGTGTGTGTGTGTGTGTGAAGTAAGGTAAATGTAAATACAATGGACCGGGAAACGTTAATAAGTCAAAGATGCGTACTGTCAGAGTTACTAATTCGAAGTTAATTACGACGTTTCAAGCGGGGACCGCTCTTCATCAGGTGACGAGTGTCACCTGATGTCACACTCGTGTGACATCACACACACATCACACACACACATGTCACACTCGTCACCTGATGAAGAGCGGTCTCCGCTCAAAAGTCGCAAGTGTGAACGGACCTTAATGGCGAACCCGCGACTTCAGAAAAACGTCAGTGGCTGGAAGCACATGTAACGTCGTGCGTAGATAGGGACGCTTCCGAAGCCACAATTACTAGGAATCTTATATGTAGATCCCCGGTTTTCTCTCTGTGCGTATAGTTCGTCGCTGCACCCGGAGACTTCATGCACGTGCTGTACAGAAATTATCACAGTGACCGTCAAAACCAGGGAACAAATAAGTGTACCATGGTACAGAAAGTGCCCTATAATGATACAGGGGAGACAAAATTTGCTAACTACACAAAGTGGTACAATGGAACCACATGTGAAAGGTATGTAAAATTGAATTTTGTTGCTACTAAACCAAGCATTTTCAATTAAAAACAAATAGGAAAGTTAATAACGCCCAAGTAACAAACTCTTGTTTTCAGGCGCGCAATGCGGTCGTTCTACAAAGTGGTAAACTTGTATGGAAGTGAAGGTACAACAAATAACGTGTTGGTTGCACGGCATAAAATTGGTAAGCCTCAAAGACCATTTACGAGAATGCTGACTGCTCGTCGTGACACACAATTGCAGTTGTGCTTAATGCATTCCAAAAATTTCTGCGCGCCTCGTTTGTAGCATTTAAGGCAGATCAACACGAATGGCGTGACCGCGAAAATCAATTGCATTCCAACACACAATCGGCTTGAACAGAATGATTCTGGTGTTTCAGATGTTGATTGTACCTGTGAAAATCACGTTTTTTATGGCCAAATCGCTTTTTGCTCGCATCGTTATTTTCTGTAAAAGTCATACATAAGCATATACGACCAGACTAAAATTATTACACTGATATCTTTCAAGTTATGAAAGAACTTAAGCAACAGTGACCGCCTTATTAGCTATCACTTTGTTCAAAGGGCTGTCCTCACTGAACAGGATTGTTGCCTTCCACAACAATAAGCAAATCCGCGCCACAGAAGTGCGCAGCCAAGGGGATTGGCAACAAATTGGACCCGGACGGCGCTTCTCGTGCGCGCCTGTGCGAGGCGGATACGATTTTTGACCTAGGCGACAAAAGTCGTGTTCGGTGTGAGAGCCCTTAATTAACTTTCCACGTATCTGCTGAGGAAAAAGAGATGGTAATGGCGCGATTGACTCAGGCTGTTGCCTAAATGCCTAAATCATTAGAAACTCTGTTTAGCATAATCGTTACTGCAATCGCGTTGACTTTTCGCCGGAGACAACACACTGGTCATGCCATTCACAGAGTGGTTTTCACTTTTTTTCAGTATTTGATCGAGTGGCAAGTGACAGCAGGATTGTGCCCGGTTAGTCTCTTTATCGAGCACACCATTGTACGAAAACTTGCAGATTTAAAGTCGGACATTGGCGCTTTAAACGATCTATAATAACGCGATTTTAAACCACGTTTGAACGCCAGCCGTAGGCTCCTAAGCACGGTCTACATAGCAGACGACTCGCCGGGGTGAGAGATGAAAGGGCGTTTCCCTCTCTCCGCTCTTCCGAGTGGAATGGTAAACGTAGAAAAATGTTTGAACAGCAGTAGAGGCTCTAATACACGACGTTTCGGGAAGAAACTTCTCTTCTTCAAATGTGCAGAAAATACAGTTGCAAAGCGTTTTTAGAGAGACCAAAGGAGAGGAGGAACATTGGAAACAGCAAAAGAAAAAAGTCATATATATAATAGTACAAGTAAAAACACTTGAGCATGAAAAAACTACATTCCAACAAAACACACATGAAAAAAAAAAAAGAAAAGAGAAGTGGTAGTTTTAAGGGGAACATGGTCGCGGGCACTCGTTAGCGAAACCAAGAAAATATATCACAGGCAACGGCCTCCGTCACGTTAGAGTTCGAGCTCCCGATCCAGAAAAATAACAACATACAGGGGTCAAGTCGAGTGAGCCTAAGGCAATATAACGCTGAAGCAAACGAAGGTCATAAATAAGCCCGAAGTGTGTGTAAGCGGACACCAGAAATGTCACACGTGGGTGGCACCGCCCAACAGAATACCGAGAAATACTCCTTAAAACGCCTCCCAACACGTTCTCCCTCCTCCCCGCCAAAAAAAAAAAGAAAAAGGAAGAGGAGGGAAGTTAGCGGGCGACGTCCCCACATCCCAATGTTTCTAGATCTCCCCTCAAAGAGCTTTAGCTCTCCCCCGCTCTCCTCTGCAATGGGGGAGGTGGTTTGCCTGTAGTATACTAAGAACTAAAAACCTACAACAGCCTATACAAGTTTCCTTTTAAAACGTTCATACCAAATGGGGTTAGGGTTTTAAATTTAGATACATGAAAGGACTCTTTCTTTTTGCGCTTAATATCATTTTTGAAACTGCTTTCCACGATGATCATTTTTAGGTGCGTATGAAGGTCGGGGTCGTCGGAGTTAAAGTGTTTAGCTACTGGTGTTTGTCCTTTATTTACAATGTCAGACTTATGGCCATAAGATCGCGCTTTCATAGAATTTTTAGTTTCTCCTATGTATTGCTTCTTACACAGTGTGCAGTTAATAATATATATCACGTCAGGGGTTTTGCAGTCGATATGCTGTTTAATATTTAAGTAGAAATCTGATGCGTAGCTCGAAATTTTATCAGCGGTCAAAACAAACGGGCAGAGTTGGCAAGGAGTGTCGAGGCAAGGACCACAACCGCGGCATGAATTGGGTTTTTTTTATATACGAGGGACATAACATCCTCCCAAGATTCCGATGCTTACGAAATCTGACAAATGTTGATTCGGGAAATATTTTTTTAAGTTTATCGTCGGCATGTAGGATATTTAAATGGCGTTTCAATATGGAATTCAGGCTTGATAGGTTCGAATAGTAGTTTATAACCAACGGCACCCTTGTTTCGTTGGAGTGAAGCTGTCGTGTGGATTCAAGGAGTGTGCTACGTTCGAGAGGGATGCCTTTCTTGTGGCGTCGTCGAGAATAGATGCAGGATAATTTCTGTTGAATAGTGTGTTCTTCAAGGACATTACGTTCTCGTTAAAGTCCGATTCTTCAAAACAAATTTTACGCAACCGAAGGAATTGGCTGTAAGGTATATTATTTTTTTTACATTTTTGGTGGTGGCTATCATAGCGTAGAACCTGAAGTTTGTCTGCAGGCTTTCTGTACAACTCCGTTATCAAATGGCTTCCCATCTTTTTAACGTTAACGTCGAGAAAGTTCATAAAGTCTGCTGAGTAATTACATGTAAATTTAATTGTACGGTGACAACCGTTGAGGTAACTTAGAAAAGAGAGGAGTGCATCTTTAGTGTCATTCCAAATGATAAATATATCGTCAATATACCGGAGATATATGGCGGGAATCTTGGCGTAAGTCCACACAAAGGTCTCCTCAAACTTCCCCATAAAAATATTAGCGTAATTTGGGGACATTCTCGACCCCATGGCCGCGCCTTGAATTTGCAAATAATGATCATCATCAAAAAGAAAGTTATTGCAGTCTAAAATTAATTTTAATAAGCGCAGAATATAGCTACTGTCTGCGAGAGACCAAGGGTAGAAAAAGAGAAATTCTTTTAAAAGTACCAGGGTCTCCGGGTTTAAGTAGAACAGTTGTTAAAACGACCTCCGCTTCAGTTGCAAAAATATGTCCCCTTTTTGTAGCTGCTTTTTTTTACATACCGCCACAAACAAGTGTCATAAACAACCATTCTTTGCTATCGACTCTATTCAACAAAAACAAGCTTATAGAAAAAATAGTCAGAGTGCAGGCGAGCTGGTGTAAGTTGAACATGATTGGAAACCTGAGACTGGAGCAGGAAGAGAACACAACAGAAGGTAGTAAAAGAGGAGGCAACGTCTCAAACTCAGCTGCAAAGTTTATTTCGAACACGCTTTATATACCCAATCTCCAACGTCGTCTCTACAAAAAAAAACATGACAAGAGGACAATGACACTTCGGTACACCTTCTCTTATCTCCCTTGACCTTGGCTGTGGGACACTCACACAAAGGGACACATTCTAGCATAACCACCGCTACCCGGCGAACGTAGGTGAAAACACTACTGAACACAAAGAAAGGGTTTGACCTTCAAAGGTGCGTTCCCTTTAACAAATCACTCAGTCCAAAGAAACAATACTATACACTGCTACCAGCCGGAACTGGGGCCATCTCCAAAAATGAGAACGACATTGCCCTCCTACCACGAACCACAAATGCGACTTTCTCGAAAATGTCCAAGGATTCACATATAAAACACAGTTGTACTACAAAAAAAAAAAAAAAAATTTACAAGCGTAGAAATTGTTTACATTCGTTCCCAAACTGCAATGACGCCTGACTTATACAGTTGCCAGACGTTTTTATACGAATCGTTTCTTGGACTACACGTTTCATATCTTCGCGTTCTTTGTGAATTACTTCCGTTTCGTAAAGCGTGTTCGAAATAAACTTTGCAGCTGAGTTTGAGACGTTGCCTCCTCTTTTACTACCTTCTGTTGTGTTCTCTTCCTGCCCCAGTCTCAGGTTTACAATCATGTTCAAGCTTATAGGTCATGTGATTTCGAGCTATAAGTTGCACACGGACTTCAATTTCTGCACCAATCCCGATAATTCCTCCTTGTTTGTTTGTTTGTTGTTGTTGTTGTTCTTTTTGTTGTTTTTTTGTGAAACTGCTAATGTTTAAGACGGCGCATGTTAATAGTTATTAACGGTTATAAATGACTTAATTTCTGAAAGAAGACAGTGAGCAGTCTGAAAAAATACACTGCAGGTGAAGCTCGTCTCTGTAGTCAATATTGCGAAATTAGTGAGAAATTATTCCACTACATACTGACTGTGCGGTCGTTCATCTCTCAATGACTAGCAGTCAGTAAAACAAAGTTGAGAACACTGTTACCCAAGCCCGGCTCCTCCAATTTAATCATTTTATCGACGTACACAGCAATTGCCGCCCCCGCTGACTGCTCCAATTGGACTACGAAGCGCCTGGGAGTATGCAACCTCCAGGGGAAGCGCCTCCAGGACCTACTTCACCGGACATAGACCTGATCTCAGATGCTGCTTAACGGCAACAGCCCATTTTGTCAAGCGCTGCCTCCGAGGACTCGGTAATGAACGATGCTGATCATGAAGGCAGGCTCTTCCATTTGCCCAAATAAAGGCTGAGGTCAAAAAAATCAACCTCAAGTGGTGAAACCGTCAGCGTTGGCTCATCGCATCGACTGACAGTAATCCTGAAGCCGAAAGAGACCACCAAAAATTATCATGAAATTGAATCCTCTGAAGCTTAAAGACACGTTTAAAGGTATTGCACCGGACGGCGTCATAATGGTACGACCAAACCGCAGGCTCGACGTTCTCACCCTGGACACAAGAGACATTGAATCAACAAAGTATCTTCTTAAGCTGACATCACTTGCAGGAATTGGGGTCTACGCATACGAACCACGCCCTTAGGACTCCGTGATCGGCATCCTTCGGGACGTGGACTAGGCTGTCACCGAACTTGAACTGGAAACAGCTCTACTAGCCAAGGTACCGGTCATCA